TAATATTCTGCTCACGACCTGATATTGCCGATTGCTGGCACGTGGCCTTGTTGATTAGGTACAATGTGAAAGTGAACAGTTTGACCCTCAAGGAAAGTTACCAATCTCTACAATCTCTGCTTTAATCAGAATTAAAAATTAAAACTTATCGACAAGACGTCGGTACGAATTGCGAAATGCGAATTGTTAAAACGGGCCTCCTCTCACCTAAACTCGTCCCTTTCACCCAAAACGTCCTGTATTAAAGCGTTTTAATAAGATAAAAAATATTTTAATTATTTAACGACGCGATAGTCGAGTGATCGGCTTGATAGACTCTTCGCTTACATACAGAATGTCCTTTTTAGATGGCCCGGTTGTATTTCTCTTGAACCAATGACGCTATCAAAAAAACAAAGTCACGAAGTTGCCGGACGAGATGAGAGCGATACGGTTTAAAATTGTAAGTCCGGAGTTCATCGGAAAAATGTACTCTTCGGTCCATTTTGAATGGAATACTGAATGTAACGAATCGGTACCATCATAATATTTATTTACTTCCACGAATTAACATTTGATCTCATGATGCGAATTTGATAAATAATGACAGAACGTAAACAATAAAGACAATTAATATTTACCTTAATGAAAAAACAAATTATTGGAATTACCAACGAAACAAACGAAATGCGTTTTGTCAAAATTTTTGCACATCTTTGTCATTTTTTGACCAATTTTTCTCCATAAAAAGTTAAAAATTAGGCTAAAAAACATGAAAGTCCTATTTTTTTATATATAGCGTCATTGGGCCAAGAGAAATTCAGCCTGTCCTCCTAAATAGGACACTGTCGACCTGCGGTCGTGGGTTCGATTCCCACTGTCACCGCGGGTAATTTTTCAGCTTTTTCAGCAGCAATTCTCCCTCCCAAAAAAACGAATGCGCATCGCCTATGAGATATGACGTTCCTTGGCTAAAATGCAAAGTTCGTAAGGCATATTTTTTAATAAAGACCATTTGTTAAATAAGAAGGAAAGTAAGGTTTAAACGGTCTTTGTAGAAAACTACAAACAGAAACGACCATAAGGTTGAATGTATTAACTTCCCCTGGACAGAACATTGTCCTTGGCTAACAGAAAAAACATGTTTAGATCAGCATATTCTTTAATCGACGAAATGAAATGTAAGGCTGCAACTTAAAGCGAACTTGAAAAAAAATCATATAATTCAGTTCTTACGCTGTTAGTCAAGTCATATCATTACCTCTCAAGTCCGTGTCTGATGAGATAAACGAACTTGATAACAAAGCTTTGTTTCATTTGCAAAAATCGTTTTTTGTGAATTCAAAGTTGAGAGTTGTACATATGTGAGACGTGCTAAAATGCACATGAACCAACTTATCGTCAGTCAATACTGTTTACTTTCTGAAAATTTATAGTTTATATAGTAGTTTTATCTTCATAGATGACGTGTTAATTTATTTTAAATGTTTCACTGATTAAGGAAAATAGCTTTGAAATAGCCGAACTATTTTATCTAAGAAAGCCATTGGTTTTATATATATATATATATATATATATATTGACACCACCCAAAAATCTCCAAATTTCGTATATTAATTACATCAGTTTTTGTTGAGTTGGATAAGTTAAAACGAATTGTATGTTCTATGTACCAAAAATTGACTGATGTAAGCAGATTTAGTGAAGATCAACTACATAAATAATTCACTAGTTTTCGTGGTCCGCTTGACCAAATAATATCTTTCAATTAATTAATCTGTATTTAAGGTATTGGTTGAAAAATGGCAAAAAGGAGGGAAAATTCAAAATGTGAGGTTGAAATGGGAAGTTGGTGTCCGAGTGGATGGAAGTCACTATAGCTCAAGTGGTTAGAGCAGCGGCGTATTTAGCCGAAGGCCGTGGGTTCGAATCCCGCTTGTGACATTGACTTTTTTTATCTCAACCAATATCTTAAGTACAGATTCATTACAGAAATAATCCTGTATGGTCTAAATAGGTGAAATAAAAGAACCACTTTTCTATTTATATATTAAAAATGTTTTATCCTTCTCTGTACTGATATGTACTATTCTGGCCACCTCTCTATCCACCTTGCAAGGAAACAACAATACACGGTTTAATGACCAATGTTGTATAAGAACTGTTTTTATTTTTATTTCGGTTACCTCCCTAAGTATATAAATCTATTTTCTTTTTTATAAATAGAGTTGTTTTTTTGAATTCATTCATCCATTCAAAAATATTTTAACATATAAAGGACCTGTAAATAGAAACTATTAATAGAAAATTTCTTCTTTAAATACGTGTAAGAAAGATAGTTTGAGAAAGTGAGAGAGACAGAATCAGACTATTTTTATAAACGAAAATTCGATTTTTCTTACAGATGTCTCTAAATTTTATCAAACATGATTAGTTCTTTCTAAAGTAATTCCTGCAATATATTTTTTTACTCCTATTATTTTAAGTCAAATGCAGCCATATATAGTAAGGCCATATATAGTAGATAATCATATCTAGGGTCCATATAGATAAAGTAGCATGCCAGTTGATATGATTGTGATGATGTATTGTGTTGGCAGCTATCATAACTTCGATCCACTCGGACACTAACCTCCCATCTCAACCGCACCTTTTGAATTTTCCCTCCTTTTCGCCATTTTTCAAATATCGTGTAATCTAATTGATTCTCGGCGACAAATGAAATGGCCATGGAGCGCTTTAGTGAAGTATACTTCATTTTATCTTATTAAATTCACTAACTTTCGTGGTCCGCTTGATCAATTAATATCTTTCAATTAATTAAGTTTTTAGTTGAGATAAAAAAGTCAGTGTCACGAGCATGAAAAATGGCAAAAAGGAGGGAAAACTCAAAAGGTGAGGTTGAGATGGGAAGTTAGTGTCCGAGTGGATCGGACTCAGGACAGCTCAAGTGGTAGAGCAGCGGCGTATCTAGCCGAAGATCGTGGGTTCGAATCCCGCTCGTGAGACTGACTTTTTTATCTCAACTAAAAACCTTAATTAATTGTAACTAGGTAGTCTTGTGTACATGGAAATTTATAGTTGTCTCGTTTTGCGTTTCTATTCAGTGCGAATTGATAGTGAATGCATTTATTAGTGTGAATGTGTTATGTTAGAGCGCCCATGGTGGAATATATATATACAACCTCTTTGACCCTCAATTAGATGAGTTACTCACAATATAAGTGGAAATGGAGGCTGAGACCCGTAAGTCATAAGTGCGATGTTGAACACCTGTATATTTATGTACATACGTTGAGCATATTTAATTCAGCAATCAATATAAATATATCACTAAATGATTTTTCGGTGAATTTTCGTTCGAACCATCTAGTTAGAAATTTTTTTTAAATTCATGAATTTCTTATGTAGTTTACTTTGGTTTACACTAAAATAAGCACGTTATAATTAGTATAGCAATACACATTAATGAAAAGTGGATTGATGATCAAAAAACAACAGATTTGACATAAAGATTTTTTTTGTCTTTGCGTGTTTTTTCACGTTTTTTATTACACCATTTGAAGCATTACGTCAATTCACGGTTGGCCTTTTTCATTGATAGTTCATCATTTTAAAACTGCCACTGGTAAAACCCCAGAAAGAACAATTAAAATATGATGTACTGTTTAAGCTTTAAATAATTTGTTTTCTGCTGAATTTTAACAAGTGTGATTGTATATAGAACTTAATATATATCTCTCTTTGTGTACCTTGTGGTTTGAGATTGAATGTATTTATTAGCGAGAATGTGTAATGTGACAGGGTCAATGGTAGAATATTGAGTTCCCCATCAACCCTAATATGGATTAAATATAGAGCCTTTGTAAATGTTGGAAAAATATCGCGTACTACCACCCCCACATGAGGGAATTGTACGTTAAAAGGAATGAATGTATTGAGAGTGAAAGTACATGTCTAAGTTTAAAAATTGGGGTATGAAATGATTGCTTATTTAAATTAGTAATCAGCATAATATTTTTTGCTTAAGCTTTGCAAAATAGTATGTCTATTTATTATTACTTAAGACAGTTATCGATATAAAGTTGAACATAATTAAATTGATCAAATGTGAAATAGGTTTTTTTTCTATTCTTTTATTAGCTTAAAATATAAATTGCTATCATTGTAAAATTTCATTGTTCCAAGTTGCTCTTTCAGTAAAGAAGACAGTTTTAAAATGATGAACTATCAATGAAAAAAGCTAACGGTGCATTGAAATAATGATTCAAATTGTGTAGTAAAAAAATTAGTTAATATTTAATTATGCCTACTATTTTTGAGTACAAAAGATAAATTAAAGAACTCATTGTGTTCGGCAATCATAAAAATTGATATCAACACATTTTTATTTTAGAATGCTTTTTTCTATTGTAATTAGTCTATTCTGTAAGCAAGGTTTGTTCAGCATTCTAAAACAAACGTAAAAAAATAACGTTTAGCTAATTTGATTTTCTTTAAACTTTGAAATAAATTGTGCTAATGGTAAGATTACTTTTACTTGCCAAACTTGTTACTTACTGTTAAAATGCAAGCCTTTGCAAATAAGGAAAAGTTGAATAGCCAACATTTGTTATCCTTATTTGTAATTGTTTATTGTCCATTTAAAAGAAATTTTACCTATCATCTTATAATGACTTGAAATCATTCAAGTAGCCTTAAATGAGCATAATCGTTCAAGTCAAACTTGTAAAATCATGCTGAATTATTTTTTAAGGGAGAAATCAATATTTTACCACTTACAATTTGCGTTATCAGTCATACTGTTTAACAGCAAATTATAAATTTTCCGCATGTCTCATTGAAGCCGATTCCTTGCCGAAACAAAACGTTGTCTCAACGGTCCATATCAAGCGGGAACGCATAATTATCAAAATCAAGGCTAGATTGAAAGTAACATTCTTAAAGATTTCCCGCTTCGTTTTATACTGTCAAGGCCTTATCTACGCAAACATAATATTTGTCTTCTCTTTTTTTTCCAGTGGCGTAAGACACACCTATGGGCAAGTGCCCTTTTCCTCGCAATCGTCTTAACATGCAGGGAAACCACGGGTAATTATATATTTATTTCTTTTGATAATTTATATCTTAATGTATGTAATATTATTTTAGAACAAATAATGATTTTAGTTCCTAGTGTCATTTTTTATTGGTAAATATTAGAGACCACAATATATTAGTTCTCTAAATATTCACATCCTGTTTTAAAAAAATACATAAGTGCCAATAGCTATAATTGACCTTATTGTGAGTTTTATTTACAGTAGGTAGATACCCAAAAACAAATGCGAAAAAAATACCATAAACTGATTATTTGGAGATCGTGAGATGCGGTCTGGTGTGACTAGTTTTTAGAAAAACATTTTCTTTGTCGTGCCAACATTTCGATCTTTATTGAGATCATCTTCAAGGCTCAAAGAGTTTGTTTTCTGCGTAATTGTGCCATGGCATTTTCGAATAATCATCGAATAACGGCCACTAATCGACACACAAAATACCATAAACGTTTAATTTTGACAGAAACACCCTTTAGAATACAATAATGACCTAGGTCAACGAACCTAACAGACTGGTGAGAGCAGATGTCTAAGTCACCTCATCATTTATTGAATTTTAGTAGGCTTATTTTCGGTTGCCAAAACAGATTTTGATAGTTTCAAAACTTAAAATGGATGCAATATTACAGGGAGACTGTTTATGAAAATTTTGGGCTATAATAATTCATTTTATTTAGTTTGATTTAGTAAGTTCTGGAAAATTGGAAGTAACATTGATACAACAATTCGTGTTATTAATATTCCTTACTCTACTAAAAGAAAAGTACTCACAAAAATACAGAGACTTGCATGCATCTGCATAACGAGAGCAATGAGAACATGTCCCACAGTTAGCATGGAAAATAGGACTAATCCCCTTACACCTTATGGTAATGATGACAGCACAGAAAACCATTATTAGTATTATCAAAGAGAATCCTCCAACAGGAATAAAACTAAAATGGAGAGATAGCAACAAAATAATGAAAGACCATCCGATACTCATGGCTCCAAGAGACGACATGAACAGGATGTTAGAATTTAATCTAAACGTCCAAATAAATCTAGCTACCAAAAAAGAATGGGAACGAGAGAGAAACACCTCTGGATGTAGATGTAGATGTAATTTTTCCAGGGTATGGTATACTGCGCCCTTTAAGAGCTGTTGTATCCCCCCTTCTCTGCCTAAAGCACATCGGTGAGTCCTATTTCATCAAGAAACTTGATTAATAGGCCCGGTTTCAGTGGTTGAAGCTCTTCTATGGTCACATTATACATCCCAAAACATTTCCTCCTGCGGGCTAATGTAGCTCCGCAGTTTGTTAGTAAATTTATTAGTGTCTCATCTGCCTCCTTGCAGAATCTACATGTGCCATCTTGGATTGTTCCAATTTTCTTTAAGTGTCCGTTTAGTCTGCAGTGTCCTGTTAGGATTCGCAGTATGTTCCTGCTTCCTTTGACACATACTGTGATTTCTTTCTTCACCTTGGTTAGAAGCTTCTTGGATTGTTTATGTCCAATGAGTGATTTTCTTCTATTGTTCCTTCATTTTCTTTTTGTACTTCTGTCTGAGATATTCGTTAATAGTGTAGATTGCTATGCCACAGAAGGGTTCGGGTCCTATCAGTGGTGTGGCAGCCCCTTTCCTTGCAAGAGTGTCCGCTTTCTCGAGAAACACCTCCTTTAAGAATGGCACCATCCTTTGGTGCACAGATGGCTCTAGAACACAAGAAGGTACAGGGGCAGGAGTATTCGGTCCTGGAACCAAATACTCAGAACCCATGGGAAAATACACCAGTATCTTCCAAGCAGAGATTCACGCAATCGAGAGATGTACTCAACTCAACCTGAATAAAGGGTAGAAAAATAAGAACATAACTATCATGTCAGACAGCCAAACAGCCATCAAAGCACTAAGCTCAAATATTATTTCCAGGATGGTGCAGAACTGCACAACCAAATTAAACATTATAATTATAAAATTAAGAATTATTACGCGTGCACAACAAATTGCGATGGATTTGTAATTACACTGTTAACAGCCTCCTGCTTAACTAAAGTTAGAAGAAAATAAAACAATCAAATTATCATGAATGTAATTTATTTAAATGACAAAACCACTACACTTATTTACTTTTTTCTATGAAAGAGAAATTGGTACAGGTTTGGACAGTAGCCTTGCCCAATAACGACCTTGAACGTAAGTTAAGGCCAGAAGTACTTTCAGATATGAAAATCTAATTTGATCTCTTAAATTTGGACATTAAGTCGTTTTAACCATAATATAATAATACTGAAAGAATCTTAACGATGTAAACCCCCCAAAAAAGTCTAATAAAATAGGGGTCCAATTACTTGAAAATGGGACAATTTAATTTTGTTTTAAACCAATGGTCGTTATGTATTTAATGAAGCAATTTATTATTCAATTCGAATTTGTTACTCTACACATGATAACTATCGAATGCGGTCATAAATAGGACGGACGAAGTAGCCGGAAACCCGAAGAAAGGTACAAGGAACGCATTACGTCATATAAAGACAACGACCTACGATCCAACACGCAACATATTACTGTCGGAATTTCCATGGACCTATAATAACAGATCTCATGATAATTTCCCCATGATACACAGAAAGGAGGAAAAACAGAAAGATTTCAAATTTTTAATTGTTCACGAAACATCATTAAAACCGATAAATGTCCCGGTATAAATAATATTTATTAAATTTAATGACGAAAAATTTCGACCTGTTTCTAATTGACTATTACTACAAGGACACAGAAAATGAAAACGTAATCCCAACCTCTTCCTCATCCCATTTGACTTTCACCAGGACCAGAAAAGATGAGTGTTTGACGAAATGTCAAAATGAGTATAAAGCAACTGAATTGACGGTTCAAGAGCTGGGGCGAACAAGTTTTTGGCCAATTTGTAACACCCCAGTGATATTTATAAATACGCAGGTCTGACTGTTTCCTCATTCAAATTAATTTTACGCCAGGGACTCAAGAGACGTAACATGGACATTCACTCAACGTAGAGAATTCTAAAGCCCCTGTAATCCATAAATTGACAAGAACGCTACCATAAGAATGGACTGTAGTGATCAGATTTAAACTGCTCAAAAATGAATAGGGATATTTGTAGTTTATCCTTATTCTATACAACAACTACAACTCAACACTAACACCATCCACTATTACTAATAATACTACTACATTAAGTCTATCAAATACAAACAAACCAGCATACATTTCCATGCCATTTATTCAAGGCCTATTACATAAATTAAACACATTTCTCTCGTCCGATAACTTCAAAATAGTTTTCAAAAATTATAAAACAATCCTAACATTTTTTTCCAAAATTAAAGATCCAACACCAATAATATACCAAAATGTCTCTTCTATACCGACTTCCTACCCCACCCCTTCAAAATCCAACGTATATAAACATAAAACAGCAAAATCTCACTGGCACTCTCATCACGACACACAAGAATGGCACAATTACACAGAAGACAAACCCTTTGACTGAGTAGAATACTTTGATTGAATATAAAAAATATATTTTGCATTGTATAAATTCACTTTTCCACATTCTGAATGTATTTGTTAGATGTAAACAATGTTTGTAAATCCCAGGCCCTGAAGATGATCTCAATAAAGATCGAAACGTTGGAACGATAAAGAAAATATTTTTCTGAAACCTATCATACAAGACCGCATCTCACAATTTCTGAATACTTAATCTATTAATTTAATTAAATTAACCAATATATTCTTGTTAGTTGGATAAAACAAATAGAAAAAAAACAAACAAATGTTAATCCTCATTTTTAATAACGGGTTTACTTAAGAATAGTAAACATGATTTTGTAAGCAAACACCTTTTCTCGTCCGTTCTCCGTTTTAATCCAGATGTATTTTCTTTAACCATGGAAAGACATCATATGAACCAGAAATTCGTAATATTATTGTGAGAATGAGTCATCGACGTCACCGACAAGTGGATCGCACAGGCAGTTGAGGTGGTCTCTGTGGGAGTACGGGCTCCCGGGCATTACCCCGATTCCGAGTGACTGGAAGTGCCAATAGGAGGCCTGGTAGTAGATCTCAGCACGTAAGGCCTTTTTCAGAGGAGTCGGTTTGGTTGTTGAACTATGTTGCCCGGTTGACTTTCAACTAGTTTACTGCCGTGTGAAGACTCTTTCTTTGCTGGTTTCTAGGCAACTTGTGGAATCAACCACTCTTCACAATGGGAATTCTGTACGATGTTAGAACCCGATGTTTTTGTGCTTGCTTTCATGCAAAAGAAGAAACAAAAAAGGAAGAAACCCAGTAAAACGAAGTGTGGGTTTATTCGTTTTATAAAATTGAGAAACGGGCGTTCAAATACTGTTGTGCTACTTCTCTCCAAGCTTTGCTTCTTTTAATTTTATCACTTTATTCCTCACACCTCATGTCCCACATCAATAAACTGCTCCACATTGAAACTAGCAATTGCAACATTGCAACTCTTTCCATGGTGAACTCAGTTGACTCAACTAGGCGACTGGTGAAAAGAACGAATGCGGAGCAGTGTATTTTGAAGTCAACCAGTGGGGACGAGAACGTGAGCGGACTTGTGCCTGCTGGCCACCCGCCTGTGCGGTCGAGAAGGACAGAAATATTGTCGTTGCTGCAACACAGAACCCATTCCATAATGCCCGCCAGATGCTAAATGAAGTACATGATGTTTGGCAAGGCCTTTATCAACACAAACGATTTTAGACGACCTGCAGCAACAGCCCGCTACCAACAACTCAAGAGTATATGGTGCAGCGATCGCCTAGAAGGGAACACCAATTTGAATGATGTTATGTTTACGGATGTGTCCCGTTTCTGCCCGTATAGTGATAGCAGGCGCCGAAGAATCTACAGGGAAGAGAGGATGCGTACAATCCCCCTGTTCGTGCTCCTTTTAATGCAGTTTCGAAGTGGATGTGTGATGGTCTGTGCTGGGGTTTATACTGGACTTCGATAAAGAAATTATCGAGGAATACATCCCTCATACTAGGGATCTCATTTCTCTATCATTGCCAGGAATTTTCGATTTCTGGATGACAATGCAAGAATTTATAGAGGCAGAGTTGATCATCAATGTTTAGAAAACCTGGGAATTTCCCATCAACCCCTTCCTCCATTTTTTTCTAAACCTCAGTTTCATAAAACACATGTGGGATGCGTTGCAGAGAATTTTTCAATCACCATCCGCAGCCTGTTGGCTTGCAACAACTGAGTACAGCGTTGCAACATCTATGGGATGAAATTCCTTATTAAATTAGTGACAACCTTAGTTACAGTATGCCTAACAGGTACATATAGATTTTAGCTAACAAAGGACATTATACACATTATTAATTGTTTAAAAAAATATTGGGGGCAATAAACAAAATTATGGAAGTAAAACCATTTAGTTTGTTACTTTTCAAAATCCCTTAATTAAATTTTCCTTCAGTAAAAAACATAATAATTTCAAATAAATTTTAATACAATTTATAATTTTAAAAAATTAAATAAAAATGCTAGGGAAATTAAATACAACAAAATTGGCACTATCCATTTTTGAGCAGTTTAAAATAATGGTTGAATACTCCTACTCGTTTAAATTTTTTTAAGTGTTTTAAAAGTTTTTTGTTTGACTCTGTGTTGGATTTGGTTCGACCAAGGATGAGTTGAAGATGATTTATGAAATGCACATGATTTATAGATTCGAATTAGGCAGTTCAAACTTTTGCAGGGAAGTGTTTCTACTAGTGGTGTTGACTACCCATATTTACACACGAGAGGCAGTGGAAATGACGTGTTATTTTTATTTTGTATTTTTATTTATTTACGGATTTTTAATCCTTTAACATACAACTTATTGAAACCAATATAAAATGTAAAATAAGCCAAGAACAAAAAATATATAAACTTTTTGAAAAACAACATAACTGTGCAAAGTACAAAACAAATTACAGGCTTATAAGCAAAATTTAAAATATAAATATACTTCTCAGATAGATTAACATCGTAAAATAAAATATTTCTTTTTTAGGAACATAATGTTAATAACAGTTTTCTTTTAAAAGCTAATCTAGATAAACTAAAAATATCAATATCTAACATATTAAGGCATCTTAGAAATCTAGGAATAGATGATCTAGGAAAAGGTTTAATTTATTTTATAAAATTTACCATGAAATAAATTAAACGATCTGATATTTTTGTGGAACGGTAAAAGAAATAAAAGTTACTAGTTCAGAACTTTCTATATGACCGTGTAAAATATCATATATCATAATTAAATTAGAAATTATTCTACGCTTCTCGCAAGTTATTAGACCAAGTTCTGACATTAAGTGCTTGTAGTCAATCTCATCAGTAGGAATAGATTTTTTATATGCTATAAATCTTAAAAATCTATGTTGGACACATTCAATTATATTAATATATTTTAAATATAAAGAGGACCAAACTGGGGAACAAAATTCAAGATGCGGTCTAACTAAGGATGTATATAAATGTACAAGAGCTGGTATGTTAGAAAAAGACTGCGAATTTCTGATCACAAATCACAGCATTTTCAAGGCTCTACCTCTGATCTGAATAATGTGTTCATGAAAACAGTGTTGGGTGAATTGCTGAATGTGATACTAGAACATTTCTAGTAATTTAAAAATAGAAGATTTTTCTCGTGCCATGAGTTGAGATGAGTGAGAGACGTCTGTAAAGATTCAGCATCAAGTGTATTTTTAACAGAACGAAACAAACAACTTTACATCATCTGCCAATAGCAAAACTCTAACATCCTCTGTAAATACTTTAAGAACGCCATTTTAAAATATTAAAAAAAGTAATGGTTCAATATGGGAACTTTGTGGGACCCCGGAGAAAACAGTAAAAGGGGAAGATTTATGATTACCAATTTTGACAATTAATCTTCTGTTAGATAAATAATTGACAGTCTATTGAACAAAAGGACCATAGATACCAAAAGCCTCCAATTTGCCTAGCAATATCCTATGGCAAACGTAATCAAACGTGTTTTTTTTATTTTTGATTAACTATAGGTTGTAATTAAATTTAAAATTATTTTATTATTTCTGTTTTTACGGAAAATCAATTAAATAAAAGAGCAGAAGAAGGATAGCCAAATTCCAACAATTAAATCTTTAAAGAATGTGCCTATTGGTTTTTCGCCAATTAAAATTTATATTATGAAACTCAAATGTTCCAATATCTGTAAGTACGTTTCAAAAAATTAATCAAAACAGTATAATTAATGCTATTGAGTATAGAGCAGATATCAGAACAAGTTATGCTAGGTTTTAAATATAATCATATTGGTATTACCATTTTCATATTACTAGTATCATCGGGTATCGGGGAAGAAGACGAATAGTTTCACATTAAAATTCATTGCTCGATAAGCAGGTTATCATAATATGATATTTTATTATAATGCTGTGAAATTCATTTTTTCCTTTACATTGGAACAAGTCTAATATGAGCTAACATAAATTAAAATGCTTAATATTTCTGTAAACGTATATAAGTCAAGAATTAAATGGACTCCAAATAAAAATTACTTTTTAAAAAGAATTTTATTGTAAGAGCTACAACTGTTCAGACGGGGCTTACAGCAGAGAGTGATTAAAATTACAATAATAAACTTGTAGGAAGGGAAGGGGTTTTAGATTAGTTATCAGTAGACATAGTGTCAGCAGTGTCGGATTACTGTTTCCTTTCCTGTAACTAAGGACAGATTTATTGGTACATATTCTAGTGATTTTACAATACCACTTTGATTATTTCCTATTATTATTGAATTATTATGTATATTCTAGTATGAAAATATTATTTTCTCAGCGAAAAGTTGGACAGCTTCTTGGTCTTGGCCAGAGGAACTACCCCAAGATATCTACGACAACCGCCTCAGCGACGAGGCGATCGTTGACATGCTGTATACCAGGCCGAGCAGGTCTCCGCCGGATCACCCCACCTTTCAGGAAAGGCTCAACTACCGTAAAGAGCTCGACAACTACGAAAACACCCTCAACGACTACGGACCGAAGAGCCAGGAGTACAGGGACTACAGGGACTACAGTGAGTACAACGACTACGAGGACTTCGACCCTAAGAGGACCAAAGCGCTAAGCACAACCTACATGACTGTCTCCCAAAACGCCAACGGTCCTCGAGTCACATCATACGCGCACAGGATCATACATAAACAATAATATTTCGTTCATGTTTTGTTTTAAACAATTAGCAGGGTATTGACATCGATTTTACACTAAGAAAAGTGCGATTCAAAAATTGTTTAAATTATCAAGAATTGGTAAAAAAACTACGTCAATAATCGCAGTTTATTTATTCTGGTAAGTCTAAAGAGCCTAATAAATTTAAATGATGAAGAATAAAAATTTTTAATTGTATACAAATTTAAGTTTATACAATTTAAAATATTTTTGGCAAAATTATCAAATCGGATTCAGTTATTTTGATGATAATTATGGCTATTCAGTACTCTGTTAGTTATACCTTAAAATTAAACAAACAACGAAAATGAACAAAACGTTTTCCATTTTTTCATATTATTTATTTATTTATGAGACTAATTATTTTAATTATGTTTGTTTTGTTGTACTAATTAACATTTAACAGCCTGAGCAAGTATTTTGAAAAAAAATTTTAACAATTTTTTGAACTTCTGAAAAAGTAGTTGAACGAAATGTGTAGCATAATCTTTCTGCTTAGCCGCTTTTCAAGGTTTAACGAGTACAAAAATGTAACCGGTCTTAGTTCAATGTCTTGTATAATTTTATCAAGACCAATGCGGAATCGCATGTTATGTTTAAAATATGCCTACTTTGTGATAAGAATTTTGCATTTTATTGTGCAATAGACTCTGTAAGACTTTCTAAAGTCGTAAGCCAAACCTTTTATATTTTACATTATTGTATGGTTTTGTAATAAACTGAGAAAAATTAATGGAGATTTTATTGCCTTTAATATGGCCGATGTAGCCAACCTACCATTAATCAACTTAATTAAAGCACAGCGTTCAATAGAGAATTCATGCCGACAGGTAAGTGGGCCCAATCAAAGAACTATAAACATGATTGCACCTTACACCTCCCAATCATTCAAATTGCCATAATCTTGCCTTAACCAATAAATCCTGTACTACAGTTTCCTACAGTTTGATCTGATTATTGGCCTTGATTTATCTTGGTTCAACAGTTTTTACATCGAAAGCATTGAAGACAATGTAAGAATAAGCAATGAGAAAATTTCTGATTTTAACTTCCTCAACCGTCAAGTCATTCAGTCTAATATACACAACGCCATTAAAGTGAAAGTCGTTCGTAAGTGCTTAAGCATAACCTTTACGTAGTGATTATTTTTCGTGAGTGTCAAAATCAGTATTTTCAGTCAGTGAATATTTTGAAAATAGTTGGTATCCGAGTGGATCGAAGTCACGATAGCTTAAGTGGTAGAGAAGCCGCGTATTTAGCCGAAGGTCATGGGTTCGAACCCGCTCGTGACATCTCAACCAATACCTTACATAAATATTAATTAATTCAAAAAAAGTTATTTGGTCAATTGGACCACGAAGTAATGGGTTTTGAAAATATTTTGATATCAAACGCCATTGGCACTAATTTAATGGCATAATTACCCTCTTATAACTGTTGTAAAAGTTTATAACAGATTATTCAGATATCGTGAGATGCGGTCTGGTGTGATGTAGGTTTCAGAAAAAACATTTTCTTTATCGTGCCAACGTTTCGATCTTTATTGAGATCATCTTCAGGACCTGGGATTTACAAACACGTTAATAACAGAGTAAAAAATTCAAGATGTCAACAGCTTAGTTTTCCTTAATCATAGTAAAATATTACGTTCAGTCCTGCACAGTGGTTGACCTATAGTTTCATTCTCTATAGTCTCTCCATACTGTATAATTGAACGAATATTTAATTAAGAAATCTAATCATTGTTGATCATGACCAATGAAAAACAAATGTCCTAACCTCATTCAAAGAAAAATAATTCATCAGATTTAGACATTTAAACAAACTAAATTTTCAAGAAACATTGACAAAATAGGAAATTAAATTATTTTATTTGAAACTAGCGTGGTTTTTATTTTTATTATTTTTTTGAAAATTGATTGATTTAATTTATATAAGCTCAAATCTTCACATAATATATTCTTTTCTATTTACAATATTATTATTATAATTACGAAAATAATATTACGAGTATTCAATATTTCCTCGATGATTCTTTCACACCACACGTATTCTACAATAAATCCGTTCACATTCAAAACACAAAAAAGAAACAAAACGAGTTAACTACCTAGTACCACCATACGATACCATACCATAGTACGTACAATAAAATGGCACTGTTAAAAATCAGAACAGAGGACACAAAGGCTTACTTACGCACACAAGCACAATTCTCATATCGGGTGTTATTCCTACCCGTTCTCTATATGGAGCCAAGGTGATGACCCTATAGGGAAGTGGGACACATTGAGCAAACTTCTCTGATGCCGGACACTTAGGCTGGCTCTGGCCAGAAAATGTGTTCGAGTTTCAACCTCGTATTGATTATTATTAGTACGGTGAGTATATTTCTTCTTTGATTCAGATCCGCCGAGGGACACCACGTTCTTGATACGTGAGAGCTTCTCTGCCGATTCGACCTATGGATTTTGCCATTTCCTTTTTCACGACGCGGCCATTCCGTAATCCTCCAGAACAGTGTGTCCCGGGAATCGGTACTAGAAAAAAAATCTGCTTTCTATGGTGAAAATGACTTGTTCAAGTTGAATAAATATGACAAGTAACTAATAGTTCTGCTCCAGTTATCAACCTCGTTCATCGAAAGATATTTTGACCCAACTTGTTAATTGAAATTTAGCATTTACAATTTTTAATAATTGTTAAATAATATATCGGATGTAACCTGAGACAATAATATATAAAATGACTGAAAATATCAACCTATTTTTTCTTTTTTCATGACATCACTTTTATTTTGATTTCACAACTGCTGATTCCTTTAGCCTCTAAGCTGTGAGTGATTGTCACCATAACAATAGACTTATAATAATCTATATAGGAAAGGGATTATTCAATTGTCAAAGAGTGATAGAGTGACATTTAATGCCCGCAGTTCGGCAGATTGCTTTTTTAAAGGGCAATGATGACGAATGGAGAGTCTCAAAGGTATTTTGCTGAAACTATCCTATCGTCCTCGTTTACGTCCCATTAGGAAAATGCTCTTAAAGGGCACCAGCATACAAGCTGTACCAGTTCTTATCACTGATGTCACGCGCTGAAAAACAGCAATTGGAAATTATAATAATTAGTAGACAACCCTCCGAAAACCTGAATCAAAGAACACAGAGCGTTTGAATCTAATAAAAAAAACGGTTAACACACATCCACCAATTTTTGGGCCAAAACAAAATTTCATCTATGAGTGATATAAAACGAAAAACGTCAATTTTCGGTAGTATAAAGGGATTTTTAATGTAAAATTCTTTTTGAGTACAGCAGCCTGCTGTCACTCATTGGTTCAATTCCATTAGAAAATATGTAAGGGCAATGTTTGATGTTAGATACTAGGGTTATTCGCGATGTTTGTAAGATGTTAACTCGTGTTAACGCGAATAGAGAAATGTTCAGTAAGATCATGAATGCCCCCTTCTTTTCTTAGCATGTTAAACGTTAATTTTTCCGCAATGCTGCGAATGGCTCTTGCTTGAATCAAAAATAAAGCTATAACAATCCTTGAAGGCTTGTTGCTGTTTGTTTTGGTTTCTTTTGTGTTAAATTGTTAACAGAAGTTAATAAAAATGGAAAATGATCAACTGTTTCATTCAAAATGCTACCATGCATTCGAAAAGTACTAACAAATGACTCGTTTCAATTCGTGCCGACATAGGTCTAATAACCTAATACCTAACTTTGACGTCTTACAGCCTACAACTTTATAGGATAGGGGATGTATCTTTTATGAATGAGAGTATCAGGGCAGGCCAGAAATTAACAAAAGAAATGTATTGGTCTGATTTAATTAATGCTTATTTAAGAATAAAAATACATGTAAACAACAAAACAGCTGTTAAATTCATGGCTACCATGTTGGTTACCTATGCCCTAACGGATAGCAATGTGACTACATTTTCGACCTAACATCTAACATTGACCCTGGCCTGTTAGATCGAGCAATGTTAACTAGCTGATTCTTATAAGTATACGTCATTATTTTTCTCGATCTAACAGGACCCAACAGAGTTAACAGGGTCAACACAAAGATCGTGAATATCCCTACTGTTTTCCCTCCCGGCTGACTAGGGCCATTGCCAGCCGATCCATCCCTTCTGAATTATTTGCTTTTGTTCTCATTCGATATTGCTTTTATAATTACATTTACACATTCGTCGTATTACAGACAATGACCTAATGAAAGTTGGGTGCTACTCAGCCTATGCAAAACATACTAATGACTTACCCCTAGCGGTTACACTTTGGATGCCAGCCGGGTGTAGTTAATCTCGACGTCCTCCCATCATTCACGCCATAAATTCTTTCATTCAACAAAATATAACCTTTCAAACCATATCTACAGTTAGAGTTAGTAAGCCACCATTCACACCTGAAAATTTGCTTCGACAGTACATATACTAAAATTGGAACGATACCTCAGCAAAAGAAGCATTTCTGATTATTCCGTCTATTGCACTGCAGAAGTGAATGGTATGACTAGAAATACACAAAAGCACTGTTTGGAAAATGTGCGACAAGAGTAATCCCGGAAGAGAAATGCAAATATTTTGAAATCTCTTGAAAGGAATTTTGTTACAATAGATAAAATGGACAGAAAAAACATACGGTTCCTTTGTTCATAGATGAAAAAGTTAATGAACGCAATGACACTTAAACCCTTCTCAAATAATCACTGAATTAAATAAACAAAGATAACTACCATAGCTATTAACGCTGAAAAGAAAACTAACGACAAACGGAGCAAAGGGAAACATTACTTCCAACTGAAACGGAATTTAATGGGTGGAGGAAACAACATAAGACTTACCAGAAAAGGGAATAAATAACGAACAATCGCGTGGAACTAGGGTTTATAGTCCATAGAATTTTTTTTTAAATACCAGTGCTTTGGAAACTAACAAATCAATAAACCCCTACTTAATATGGTTCACAAACTTAGTCATAAAAAATAAATGACTAAAAAATTAAAACTACTCATCACGCAATACAGCCAAATATAACGCGCAAAAGAAGAAGGATCACATTAGAAATTAATCATAAAGAAAATTACTTAACCTGGAGGTGTGGATTATGTATGAAAGAATTGGGTGAGATATGTAAAAAGAGTAATTGAGGATATATAGAACAAAAAAAAACCACAAAAGTGATACCACTTTTTTTTCTTATTATTCGGAGATCGTGAGATGCGGTCTGGTGTGACGTAGGTTTTAGAAAAACATTTTCTTTATCCTGCCAACGTTTCGATCTATATTGAGATCATCTTCAGGGCTCGAAGTGTTTGTT